TATTGTAGAATGAGGATCGGTGAACTTGAGGCACAATGAGAGAAGAACAATATATCCTTAGTAGGAAGATGGTACAAGCCTGAAAGGCTAGAGCAATGTCCTTTCCAAGGATAAGTTCTAGAGAAGTGGGAAGCCACATTTATGTGGCTGAACTCTTGAGGCTAGCTGCAGCACCTCAAAGCTGAGGGCAGGGCTAGCCAACCTTGCCAAGCTAGCAATTGAGGCCACATGTTGCACATGTGGGCCAGGCTGGAACAACAGCCTACATGGCAGCATGTGGCACACCATAGGAGCCAACAAGGTGAGTATGGGATGGGTGGACAGATGGCAATGCCAACTGTGACCACACTTCACTGTGGGTGAGTGTGGTGGAGTGTGGGAGTGTCATGTTCGGCATAATGAGAAGAGAAGGTGCTGCCGATGAGAGTTGAACCCGCGACCACTAAGACCAAAGGTACCCACTGGGACATTCTTGCTTCCACAACAATTATTATTAATCAAAACTTATATGGCACACCAATGGCAGCCAAGGTAGGCTGAATATCCCGCAACTCCTCTTCCTGCCCCCCCCTCCCAGCCCACGTTCGACGAGGACCACAGATTCGTCGAACTGGTGGTGCGACTTGCACCATGAACCGAACTGCGATTCGTTTTTTACTATAGCCTACCTCCCACCGTGCTCGTGTCATCTGCCAATTGGGTTGACCGTGTGTGCTTGCTGTCATTCGGTTCATGCACTCTAATCTCATCTCCTTACTTGTTCTGCCCCAACCCATAACACACACACGCACGCACGCACGCACGCACGCACGCACGCACGCATGCACGCACGCACGCACGCACGCGCGCACGCACACACGCGCACGCGCACGCCCACGCACGCACACGCACACACAGGTCTCTTTCAAACACCGCTTTGACTGGATCCATTCCCAGTACCATTCTCTGGCTTGATGATCTCACTTATCTGTAAGAATCTCCTCCATTGAGCCTGGTGCCTGCTAAGTATGCATGGTAAAAAAACACATGACCTGAAAATCACGCGAGAGAATATCCTTGGTCGTATAACCTAGATGCGACATGCAATCAAGAAAGGAAAGAGTTTTGGGTAATCATAACATCCCACAATTCCTTTTTTTTTTTTTTTGGCCCTCCCCCTCCCATCCCAGCCCGGATTTGGCGAGAACCAGAAATCCGTCAAGCTGCGAGTCGAAAGAGTTCCGAGCAATTTGAGTCGCACATGAAACCATTTGCCCCAAACAGAACCGCGATATATTCTTTACTGGTGCTTTCCCAAGGCAAAAAATACAATTTTTGTACAATACGATCCTTTCACACTCGCATTTTAGTGCCAAAAAAAAAAAAAAAAAAACGTTCATTTCTTTGTTATAAAACTTTGGGCACCAAATTGAAGGTGTTTTCAATCATGGACATGAGGGGCAACATGCAAGAAAGAGCTAATTACAACCATTTTCGATAATGTCGTTTTCTACGGCCGAAATCCAATTTACCTACGACGAATGGTCACTCAAACTCGAACACGTATTGGTTTGGGTAAAAAAACACTATGTGCTCGAACCAAACACAATAATGGTAAACTGTACAGTCGAACACTCGAACCCTACTTCTGCAAGACTCTATTCGACAACATCCGAGCTCGTTCAGTTCAGGTAGTACAAAACATTTGAGTAAGTTCGCAACAAACTAGTTGTAGCTGCCTCTTGATCGTGCCACCTCCCACCATTGCCGTCTCATCCCCCAATTGGGTCGAGCATGTGTGGTTGCTGTACCGTACCTAAGTTCATCTCATCAATCATTCCAAACCAACCTTTACCGTTCACACACAGGTCTCTTTCATACAACGGTTTGACAGGCTTCATTCCCACTGTCATCGGCAGGCTTACTCGGCTCTCTTATCTGTAAGAAGCACCTCGTCTAAACTTGATGCTAAGATGCATGTTTTATGATCACCTGAAGTTCAAAACCCGCGAGAGAAAATGCTTAGATGCCACAAGCAAGCAAGAAACCGGAGTTTCGGTTAATGAAACTGTATATAGCCATGCAATGGGCAGCCAACCAAGGCTGAACCTCTTCCTGGCCCTCCAGTTCCCAGCCAGGTTCAACTACCGTATGAGAACCACAAACTGTGTGTGTGACTCGAACCGGTTTGGGCAACTAGAGTCGAACATGAACCCATTCGCCTCCAACCAAACTGCGATTTAGTTTTCACTCATGTCGAATGATCCTTCGTTTATAAAAGGAAGGGCAGTAATATGTGATGTTTTTTTGTAAAATGCATCATGTGTGCGGTGTACTTTTTATATCATTCTTTGGTGTAGTTTGTAGCTTGTGTGGGTAGGGTGTACACCCACATCCCAACCTAACCCAAATGTTATCAACTGAGATCCTCCAACCCACCAATTTGAGATTTTAGTCGATGTTATTAGGACTGCCCCCCGATTCCCTACCCATCCATCTGCTGCCCATATTTCGATGTATAATCATTGAGCTCATTACCTAATGCATAAGGACTCACGGCACGTATACCCGGGGCAGAGCAAGGAGGGCAGAGGGCTAAGGCAGAGAGCAGAGGTCTAACCCCTCTCTCTTTCTCTCTCATGTTTTGTTGACACTATTGGGATCTAGAGGCTACTAAGCACACCTTTAATTCACACTTAACAGTCCCCACGGGGTCACCTCCAAGGGTCCTTGGGTGCCTGGCAAGACCAGCCCCTATCCAAGGGTCCGTGTTATGTCGAGGGACACGCTAAGTATGAAAACAATCGCGTGCATTAGAGCATTCCCAAAACTCCTGGCGCAGCGTTGTGACGACGAACTGGTTGTGTGCAGGAAGTTCTCTTCACGTCAATACGATGATAGAGAAAAACTCCACTCAAAAAGATTGATTACAATTGAACACAGGCATGCATTTATATTTCGCCCAACACAAGAGCATAAGAAAGCACAAAGCAGTTGTTTAACTAGACTTCAGGACTTCCCCAGCTTGTCCTTGAAAACGGTTGTCAAACCCCCGTCGATTTTGGCTTGATTCGCCTCTGTAGAATAACTGTCTTCAAAGTTCATATCTGCCAAACGCCCCTGCTGACTCCTCTCACGAACGTTCACGAATTCGGATGACTAATTATGAAGACTCGTGTGGGATTACCGTTTTCACGAACGTTTACAGTTGGAAAACGGATTTCACCGTTTTTCTCCTGTACCGAAATTGTCCCTTCACGCGCGGTGCTTTCCCGCGAAATTTCTGTGTGCCACGTACAGTAAAAGACGAGGCTCAAGATTCAGTTGTTTAACTGAAATCTTGAGTCAAACCCGAGACAAACCCGAGCACCCCTCGGAATCCCGCAGCACCCCCCGAAACACTCGTGCGCCCTTGCCAGCGCAATCATAGCATGACCGATATTTTCGGTCGTGCTCGACAGTGCACTGACGTGCGCTGTCTGTTGCGATCATGGGCCTTGTGCCCTCGCGCAACAGTACCGAGCCACACGCTCGCAACAGTTGCGAGCCACACGCTCGGGCCCTGAGGGCCCACGCGCAAAAATCTAGACCACACGCGCGGTCAAGATTCTGGCGCCCTTGACCTTGACCACCACAAAACTATCTCGCGAACACTCGCGACTCTTCACGAACACAAACGAAAACAGAAAAACGAAAACTAACATGAACGCTCACAAACATTCATGAACAATGCACAGACTTCACGGAATTTCACAAACACTATCACGAACACAGAAATTCACGAACATAAAATCAACGCACAGTTATGAGAACTCACAAAGCAACGCGAACGCACACGAAGTCTCGCATTCACACACAGACATTCGCGAACACTCAGAAATGCAACCTTTCACGAAAACTCACGTAACTCATGAACCGTTGAGGCGATTCACGAGCCGTAAACACAGAAACGCAGCTCACGAAAAAGCGCAACTCTCACACAACAAATTACCTTCAGAACAAACACCTCACTTTCACTCAACGTCGACAAATAGGCGGTAGGTTGTCGTGCAAACCATGTATTGCACTCAACATGTTTGTCTCCCAGCATGCTCGTGTCACCCCCCAAATGGGTCGACCGTGTGTTCTTGCTGTCGCTCAGACCATGCCTCTATTCTCATATTATCACTTGCTCCGCTCCAACCCATGCCACGCATGCACAGGACTCTTTCAAACAACAGATTGACGGGCTCCATTCCCAGTGACATATTCACGCTTCCTCAGCTCACCTATCTGTATGAGGCACCTCGTTTAAGGCTGGAGCTAAGCACGCACGATGGTGACACCTGAAGTGGGCTGTGTAGGAATTTCAGCTCCATTACTTAGAAGTCCGTTCATATCACCGCATCCTGCAGTCAATGCCCATTCTCACTAATCTCATATTCTCACTTCCTCACCCCAACCCATATCACACGCACACAGGTCTCTTACAAACAACAAATTGAATGGTTCCATTCCCAACAGCATCTCCATGCTTTCTCAGGTCACCTTTCTGTATGAACCACCTCGTTTCAGCCTGGCCCGAACATGATAGAAGATGGCATGAACCCTAAAACCCTCGAGAGTACAACCTAGGTCGCATAACTTTGATGTCAGGCACAAGCAAGAAAAAAAGAATGTCTAAGTTGTAAAATTCATACCTGTGCATGACGAGAAATCTGGAAGCCAAGCCAAGGATGAATATCCCACAACACAACTCCTTCTCCTGGCCCTCTTCCTCCCAGCACGAGGTCCAACCACCCAAACGCGTAGAACTGGGTGTGTGACTTGATTGAACCAGTTCGGCTAATTCGGGTCGAACATGAACCGGTTCGAACAGAGCAGAACAGAGCTGCGATTAGGTTTCTACTCATACCTGCCTCCTCCCATGCTCGTTTGATCGTCTAACTGGGTAGACCGTGTGTTCTTGCTGTCCCTCAGTGCATACCCACTATTCTCATCTCCTCACTTCCTCCACCCCAACCCACGTCACGCACACACAGGTCTCTTTCAAACAACAACTTGACGGGTCCCATTCCCAACGGCACCTCCATGCTTCCACAGCTCATTAATCTGTATGAAGCACCTCGTATCAACCTAAACATTATCAAAGAGTATATCAACTCTATAACCCATGAGAGAGAATCCTCACTCACATAACGTAGATGCCACACGCAAGCAACACAATTGGGATTTCAAGGTAATTTAAACGTAGATGGTCACACAGTTGGCAGTCAAGCCAGCCATCACAGGCCCGGCCGGACTCGACAAGAGCCGAAAACTCGATGAACTGGGGGTGCGACTTGAAATGGTTCGGGACCGGGTTTGCCAATTAGAGTCGAACATGATGCTGTTTGCCAATTAGAGTCGAACATGAAGCTGTTTGCCTCCAACCATGCTGCCTTCGACCATGACGGTCTCATCTCATCCCTCAATCGGTTCAATCATGTGTGCCTGCTGTCCTTCCATCCATGACCACTATTCTCATCTCCAACTTGTTCCATAACCCAGAGCACACACTCACAGGTAGGTTTGTGCAATGTCCCGAGCTGCATTTAGTTTTTTTCTCAAAAAGGGTTCGACTCAAACCTATACATGTTGGGTTTGACCATTCAGTTCAATTTGACTGTGAGTGCTGAGCCACGGCAAGCCAAAAAAATATTATGAGCTGCTTGTTTTACATGTAGTCGTTTATCCACTGCCAATTTGACTCCAGGTAGAAGGTTCGAGGTCAAACTTTGAACCCAAACCCCACCCATCTTGTTTCCATTCATACTGTGAACGGCTACTTGCGTCACGGGCATTCTCCCCTTGTGACATTCTCTGTAACCCCCCTTGTGACATTCTCTGTAACCTTGGATCTGATGCAATCGATGATTGCTTCCACTCAGTTGTAGCATTGAAATTAGAGTGTTTTTGAGATGTTTTCAAAAACACTCCTTTCTCGCTTCACTGAAGCAAATCGCCTGCCAGGTCGTCTTGCTCTTCCCCCCGTCATCTCCCTCTCCTTCATCTTGCATGGGCTGCTTTTCATGGTCGACAGGCGTATACAAGGAAATCGCCTGAATGGATCTATTCCATCATCTCTCAGCCGCTTGATCAACCTGGTTAACCTGTAAGTAGATATGAGCATCGAACCGAACTTCGGTTCGAGATAGCTCAAACCGAACTTTTTTTTTTTTCGTGAAAAACGTTCGCGCAAACTTCTCTGAAGTTCGCGCGAACTGTTCGTGCGAACATTTTGGGTTCGAGATAAGCACCTCGAACCAAACAGGTTCGAGGTTCGAATCTTGTTATTTCAAACCGAAAGGGGTTCGAGATAACCTCCTCCCGCGCCACGGAAACACTTGCGACTTTCCTGTCAAAATCGGGAAAGTCCTAGTGTTGGCTGCCATTTCATGGCAGCCAACCCTAGTCTCGCTGAGTTAGTGGACTAGATCTAGATCTACTCCTACTCTAGGCTCTAAGCACACAACCATGATTTTTCTAGATCCTTTCAAGCATTCCGTCAATTACATAAGACAGATCAGTGCGCCTTCTTCAATTTCCAGAAATTAAGGGTTTCTTAAACCATTAGACATGCATGTGTTGTAGAATAATAACATGTGCATCATTTTAAACCTCAAACCTGCTAAGGTTTGAGCAAACCTTTAGGGTTCGCCATTGTATTCTCAAACGTCAAACCTTAAAGTTTTGAAAAAAGTTCGAGCAAACCTGTTCGGTTCGGTTCGAGCAACATGCAAGGTTCGAAAAGGTTTGCACAAACATGTTTGAGTTCGGTTTGTGCTCATATCTACCTGTAAGTACCATGATTCCAGTACTAGGCTATCCCAGCTACTACCATTGGCTTGTTGACAGCACTGGGAGAACTGACTAAGTGGCTGTACATCATTAGTATCACTCCGTTGCCATGTTTATACAATCTTAAAACTCACGACTTGTGTGCTGTGCGGCCATCCATCCGCATGCCATGCCCATTTCCAGATTGATCCTCCTCTCAACCTCCATGCTCCGTTGACATAGCCCCACCTTTCAACAGCTATTTCAATTTCCCTTTCTTGCCCTCCACCCTCCCTCCTTTCATTTACTAATGCTTTCTTCCCCTTGTTCCCAGTCCAATGCTGTTCCCTCTCCTCACCTTTGCTCCCCAACAAGACTCGTCACATTTCCTTTGCCCGCTTGCATGTGCTTCCTAACTGTCCTGCCATGCCTGCTATTCAAATTTCTTCAATTCCGTTCAACCCACACAACACAATGCACAGGGATCTCTCATCCAATGCCCTGAGTGGCCCCATGCTCACCAACTTCGCCTTCCTTGATGGCCTCACCTCTCTGTACGAAGCTCACTAGAATCACTGTTGTATGTGCCGGGCCAGGGCTGCACCGCACTCTCATGGGCCAAGCCTGCACCGCACTCTCATGGGCCAAGCCTGCACCGCACTCTCATGGGCCAAGCCTGCACCGCACTCTCATGGGCCAAGCCTGCACCGCACTGGCATGTTCCATGCCTGCACTGCGCTCTCAGCCATCAACTCCCTTTCATCATTGCTGTGTGGCCCTCCCCATGCTTCTCACCCCATCTGCTGTTCCAAAGCATGCTGAGATGTGCTGTGACCAGATCAAAGGTGCACTGCACCTTGTATTCTAGGTTGTAAATATTATCTCCATCGTATCGTACCAACCTGCCATCTATAGTCACTTGTGGTTGGATGCACGCTGCTGCTGTGACCAATTCAATGGTGCGCTGCTCCTTTTACTTGCTGCCATGCATGCATCGTTTCTCTATATATTGCCTCTTTACATACTTTTCCCATCCCGTTGTATCAACCAACATGCCATTAATAGTCTTGTGGAATGGATGCATGCCTTCATGTGGATGGATGAATTCATGCCTTCATGTAAATCGGTGGATGCATGTCGCTGCATTCCTGCATTCCTACCAGGGCTTACACTGACACTTTCCGTCCGACCCATGGGAACAGAAACCTCTTTGATAACAACCTTAGTGGGGAGATTTCGTCTGAGATGGGAGGCCTCACTAAATTGAAGTACTTGTGAGTAGACTTGAGCGAGTAGCACCCCAAGCCAGACTTTCAACTTGTGAGTACGCTTGAGCAAGCCCTGAACCTGAATCGGACCTGGAACTCTTCAAACAACTTGAGCCTGTACCGGATCCGAAATGGACTTGTAAGCAGAGCGAGGGAGGCTGATCTAATGCTGCAATGAAGGCTCATGGTTGGCTTAAGGAGAGCAGTGTCTCAGGAGTTACAATGACTTGGAGTTTTTGTCGGGGTGCAGGCAAGGTAATGTCTCCATGGCCAACCTAGACACCATCCCCATGCCGTTCCCACCTTGAGAACGCCTACTGTGGTTAACATGCCTACCCCAAATAGCCTACCACTATTTTGGTTGAACCTGAACTGAATGTCTGTGTAGCTTTGCCCATACTTCCGCCTTTTCATCTCCCCTTTCCTCCGCAGCAACATCTCTGGCACCAACCTCACATGCCCACCCGACAACTCCACCTGTGGCGTAAAACAATCTCCCAAAACTTCATTTTGCCGCACGTGTAGACCCTTCTGCAATACTTGCACCAACCAATCTGCAGGCAAGTCAATACACACCAGAGGTATCAGTGCTAGGCTATCCCAGGGTATGTAGCAAGAGATGCATTGCAACGCATGGGATTGCACGGTGCTGTAAAGTACAAGGCATGTTGATTGCACGGTGCTGTAAAGTACAAGGCATGTTGATTGCACGGTGCTGTAAAGTACAAGGCATGTTGATTGCACGGTGCTGTACAGTACAAGGCATGTTGATTGCACGGTGCTGTACAGTACAAGGCATGTTGATTGCACGGTGCTGTACAGTACAAGGCATGTTGATTGCACGGTGCTGGACAGTACAAGGCATGTTGATTGCACGGTGCTGGACAGTACAAGGCATGTTGATTGCACGGTGCTGTACAGTACAAGGCATGTTGATTGCACGGTGCTGTACAGTACAAGGCATGTTGATTGCACGGTGCTGTACAGTACAAGGCATGTTGATTGCACGGTGCTGGACAGTACAAGGCATGTTGATTGCACGGTGCTGGACAGTACAAGGCATGTTGATTGCACGGTGCTGTACAGTACAAGGCATGTTGATTGCACGGTGCTGGACAGTACAAGGCATGTTGATTGCACGGTGCTGTACAGTACAAGGCATGTTGATTGCACGGTGCTGTACAGTACAAGGCATGTTGATTGCACGGTGCTGTACAGTACAAGGCATGTTGATTGCACGGTGCTGTACAGTACAAGGCATGTTGATTGCACGGTGCTGGACAGTACAAGGCATGTTGATTGCACGGTGCTGTACAGTACAAGGCATGTTGATTGCACGGTGCTGTACAGTACAAGGCATGTTGATTGCACGGTGCTGTACAGTACAAGGCATGTTGATTGCACGGTGCTGGACAGTACAAGGCATGTTGATTGCACGGTGCTGGACAGTACAAGGCATGTTGATTGCACGGTGCTGTACAGTACAAGGCATGTTGATTGCACGGTGCTGTACAGTACAAGGCATGTTGATTGCACGGTGCTGGACAGTACAAGGCATGTTGATTGCACGGTGCTGGACAGTACAAGGCATGTTGATTGCACGGTGCTGTACAGTACAAGGCATGTTGATTGCACGGTGCTGGACAGTACAAGGCATGTTGATTGCACGGTGCTGTACAGTACAAGGCATGTTGATTGCACGGTGCTGTACAGTACAAGGCATGTTGATTGCACGGTGCTGGACAGTACAAGGCATGTTGATTGCACGGTGCTGTACAGTACAAGGCATGTTGATTGCACGGTGCTGGACAGTACAAGGCATGTTGATTGCACGGTGCTGGACAGTACAAGGCATGTTGATTGCACGGTGCTGTACAGTACAAGGCATGTTGATTGCACGGTGCTGTACAGTACAAGGCATGTTGATTGCACGGTGCTGTACAGTACAAGGCATGTTGATTGCACGGTGCTGGACAGTACAAGGCATGTTGATTGCACGGTGCTGTACAGTACAAGGCATGTTGATTGCACGGTGCTGTACAGTACAAGGCATGTTGATTGCACGGTGCTGGACAGTACAAGGCATGTTGATTGCACGGTGCTGTAAAGTACAAGGCATGTTGATTGCACGGTGCTGTAAAGTACAAGGCATGTTGATTGCACGGTGCTGTAAAGTACAAGGCATGTTGATTGCACGGTGCTGTACAGTACAAGGCATGTTGATTGCACGGTGCTGTAAAGTACAAGGCATGTTGATTGCACGGTGCTGTACAGTACAAGGCATGTTGATTGCACGGTGCTGTACAGTACAAGGCATGTTGATTGCACGGTGCTGGACAGTACAAGGCATGTTGATTGCACGGTGCTGGACAGTACAAGGCATGTTGATTGCACGGTGCTGTACAGTACAAGGCATGTTGATTGCACGGTGCTGTACAGTACAAGGCATGTTGATTGCACGGTGCTGTACAGTACAAGGCATGTTGATTGCACGGTGCTGTACAGTACAAGGCATGTTGATTGCACGGTGCTGGACAGTACAAGGCATGTTGATTGCACGGTGCTGTACAGTACAAGGCATGTTGATTGCACGGTGCTGGACAGTACAAGGCATGTTGATTGCACGGTGCTGGACAGTACAAGGCATGTTGATTGCACGGTGCTGTACAGTACAAGGCATGTTGATTGCACGGTGCTGGACAGTACAAGGCATGTTGATTGCACGGTGCTGTACAGTACAAGGCATGTTGATTGCACGGTGCTGTACAGTACAAGGCATGTTGATTGCACGGTGCTGGACAGTACAAGGCATGTTGATTGCACGGTGCTGTACAGTACAAGGCATGTTGATTGCACGGTGCTGTACAGTACAAGGCATGGGATTGCACGGTGCTGTAAAGTACAAGGCATGTTGATTGCACGGTGCTGTACAGTACAAGGCATGTTGATTGCACGGTGCTGTACAGTACAAGGCATGGGATTGCACGGTGCTGTAAAGTACAAGGCATGTTGATTGCACGGTGCTGTAAAGTACAAGGCATGTTGATTGCACGGTGCTGTAAAGTACAAGGCATGTTGATTGCACGGTGCTGTAAAGTACAAGGCATGTTGATTGCACGGTGCTGTACAGTACAAGGCATGTTGATTGCACGGTGCTGTACAGTACAAGGCATGTTGATTGCACGGTGCTGTACAGTACAAGGCATGTTGATTGCACGGTGCTGGACAGTACAAGGCATGTTGATTGCACGGTGCTGGACAGTACAAGGCATGTTGATTGCACGGTGCTGTACAGTACAAGGCATGTTGATTGCACGGTGCTGTACAGTACAAGGCATGTTGATTGCACGGTGCTGTACAGTACAAGGCATGTTGATTGCACGGTGCTGGACAGTACAAGGCATGTTGATTGCACGGTGCTGGACAGTACAAGGCATGTTGATTGCACGGTGCTGTACAGTACAAGGCATGTTGATTGCACGGTGCTGGACAGTACAAGGCATGTTGATTGCACGGTGCTGTACAGTACAAGGCATGTTGATTGCACGGTGCTGTACAGTACAAGGCATGTTGATTGCACGGTGCTGGACAGTACAAGGCATGTTGATTGCACGGTGCTGTACAGTACAAGGCATGTTGATTGCACGGTGCTGGACAGTACAAGGCATGTTGATTGCACGGTGCTGGACAGTACAAGGCATGTTGATTGCACGGTGCTGTACAGTACAAGGCATGTTGATTGCACGGTGCTGTACAGTACAAGGCATGTTGATTGCACGGTGCTGTACAGTACAAGGCATGTTGATTGCACGGTGCTGGACAGTACAAGGCATGTTGATTGCACGGTGCTGTACAGTACAAGGCATGTTGATTGCACGGTGCTGTACAGTACAAGGCATGTTGATTGCACGGTGCTGGACAGTACAAGGCATGTTGATTGCACGGTGCTGTAAAGTACAAGGCATGTTGATTGCACGGTGCTGTAAAGTACAAGGCATGTTGATTGCACGGTGCTGTAAAGTACAAGGCATGTTGATTGCACGGTGCTGTACAGTACAAGGCATGTTGATTGCACGGTGCTGTAAAGTACAAGGCATGTTGATTGCACGGTGCTGTACAGTACAAGGCATGTTGATTGCACGGTGCTGTACAGTACAAGGCATGTTGATTGCACGGTGCTGGACAGTACAAGGCATGTTGATTGCACGGTGCTGGACAGTACAAGGCATGTTGATTGCACGGTGCTGTACAGTACAAGGCATGTTGATTGCACGGTGCTGTACAGTACAAGGCATGTTGATTGCACGGTGCTGTACAGTACAAGGCATGTTGATTGCACGGTGCTGGACAGTACAAGGCATGTTGATTGCACGGTGCTGGACAGTACAAGGCATGTTGATTGCACGGTGCTGTACAGTACAAGGCATGTTGATTGCACGGTGCTGGACAGTACAAGGCATGTTGATTGCACGGTGCTGTACAGTACAAGGCATGTTGATTGCACGGTGCTGTACAGTACAAGGCATGTTGATTGCACGGTGCTGTACAGTACAAGGCATGTTGATTGCACGGTGATGTACAGTACAAGGCATGTTGATTGCACGGTGCTGGACAGTACAAGGCATGTTGATTGCACGGTGCTGGACAGTACAAGGCATGTTGATTGCACGGTGCTGTACAGTACAAGGCATGTTGATTGCACGGTGCTGTACAGTACAAGGCATGTTGATTGCACGGTGCTGTACAGTACAAGGCATGTTGATTGCACGGTGCTGGACAGTACAAGGCATGTTGATTGCACGGTGCTGGACAGTACAAGGCATGTTGATTGCACGGTGCTGTACAGTACAAGGCATGTTGATTGCACGGTGCTGTAAAGTACAAGGCATGTTGATTGCACGGTGCTGTACAGTACAAGGCATGTTGATTGCACGGTGCTGGACAGTACAAGGCATGTTGATTGCACGGTGCTGGACAGTACAAGGCATGTTGATTGCACGGTGCTGTACAGTACAAGGCATGTTGATTGCACGGTGCTGGACAGTACAAGGCATGTTGATTGCACGGTGCTGTACAGTACAAGGCATGTTGATTGCACGGTGCTGTACAGTACAAGGCATGTTGATTGCACGGTGCTGTACAGTACAAGGCATGTTGATTGCACGGTGCTGTACAGTACAAGGCATGTTGATTGCACGGTGCTGTACAGTACAAGGCATGGGATTGCACGGTGCTGTAAAGTACAAGGCATGTTGATTGCACGGTGCTGTACAGTACAAGGCATGTTGATTGCACGGTGCTGTACAGTACAAGGCATGGGATTGCACGGTGCTGTAAAGTACAAGGCATGTTGATTGCACGGTGCTGTAAAGTACAAGGCATGTTGATTGCACGATGCTGTAAAGTACAAGGCATGTTGATTGCACGGTGCTGTAAAGTACAAGGCATGTTGATTGCACGGTGCTGTACAGTACAAGGCATGTTGATTGCACGGTGCTGTACAGTACAAGGCATGTTGATTGCACGGTGCTGTACAGTACAAGGCATGTTGATTGCACGG